TTATAATTTTTATAGCCATCATCGCTTCTTCTTTGCTTGAAAATTCCATGCCTAAAGATAACTCACCATTATTTATTGATGAGTAATATCCATAGTCACCGAGATAAGGCATATCCGCAAATTCTGGCCCAAACATTGCACCATAATCAACTTCATACATGTGTGCAGGAGGGTCAGTTTGTGCCATATTTGCTGAAACTTCATCCACATCATCATCATTATCAGAGTTGAATTACGGTGATTCTGGGTGAATGAATAGTCCAGTCTCAGCACCATCCGCACCAGGCTCACGAAGCGGTTCTTCTGGTGGAGATGATGGTTCCTCTATGCTCTCCACATTTAGGTCGAAGAACCTACTACTTGCGCGCCTTCCCCTTGAACTGGAAGGTATATCGACATTCAGATCGAAAAAGCTTGCAGTCGAATGCCTCCCCCTGTAGCTTGAAGCCATCATGTCAAATGGAAACTGCACAGATTATTGCGTTGATGGCATTTCCATATTAAGGTCAAAGGGATTTGCAGATGAATGCCTTCCCCTTGAACTGGACGCGATGTTGCCATACGGATTGTTCGTCAACCCACCTCGGTACATATCGTAAGGAGTTGCGGATGAATGTATCCCCATTATGGCATTAAAATTATTACACATTACTGTCGTCGGGCTGTCAACTTGTTCAGCCAGCCCATAGTGAGAGCTTAATGATTGACTCCGAACGACACGTACTTGAATAAAATTTGCATACATCTCAATATCGGCGTCTGAATAATTACTTTGAGCTTCAACCATAATTTCAACATCATCATTGTTCAAAAGTTCGAACGCTGTATAAGTTAATGACAACAATGATGGTGGAAATTTGTACTACAACGACGACATTCTTCTACTACTTCCAACATGAATTTTCCTCGAAATCTTCGTTATCAGCTCCTCAAGATTTATGTTTCTCTTCAATGATATTTTAACACGCTCATTTAATACGAAAAAACGCCGATTTCATCTTCTCGAATTTCACCATCATAATAAACAATAGCTGAAAGTCATGTCATTCTTTGAGTTTAAAAGTACTGCAATATTATATCTGCAAAAAAAAAAACAACGGAAACAATGCTGATTAAATAAATAATATATGAACGAAAATATAACACAATAAAATTTTTACACATAAACGTAAATAATTTAAATAATATAATTTTATATTATTACTTGTACCGCAAAACTATTTCGACGTATATTCCCGCTTTCTAATTTTACAAACACAGAAATTAATTGACAACAATTAATATAATATTTGTTCAAATAATCATAATAAACAATAAGTATAATAATAAAAAATTATTACAAAATTACCTTATAACGAAAAATCGCATGAACTTCTGAATCAAATATGAGAAGATTGTCGGAGATGTGAGGAGTTACCCCGGGGGAAGGGTATTTATAGTGGGAAAAGCTACAAGACGCGGTACCTGCACCGCACCTTACATAATTATATCAAATAAAGCTAAGGTGCGACCCATGTTCCGCTCCTAATATAATTGTGTTAAAGGTAAGGCGTGACCCCTGCCCTGCGCTATACTCCTAGGTGGCCTAAGGCGTGCCACGGGGCCGCACTTTACACACGTGTATACCATGTCAGCGTAAGACGCGCTTCAGGGGACGCGCCTTACCCCACGTGGCACCAAATCAGCGTAAAGCGCGTTGTAAGGGATGCACCTTTCTGCAAATAATGTTAGATCAAAAAATATAGTCTGAATGATGCCTGATCGGGAAATATACTATTTAACGGTGATATATCAAAAAAAATCACCGATTTTTTCAAGTTTTTCACAAGCAGCCAATGGAAGAATAGTAGATTGCATGGTGTGAATAGGTATCGCAAACAGCTTTGTTATTTTCACAAGTTGATTTAATTAAAATTCTTTTAAAATATTTTATGATTTATCATTAAATCTTACATTTAAAAAAATAAATAAAAGTCTCAAATTATTTTACTAAAGTCCATCCATGTTCCAAACTTTGTACATATAGATATAAAGTAGAGTCATTGCGTCTCTAGAACTGTCTTATCTTCTCAGTTCCCACTACCACAGTGTTTTCCTTTTCATTTTATCCTGTCCATGAAGCTCAAATCTAATAAATTAAAGAAATAAGTGGAATCTGAAAGAGTTGTCCACAAACAAAACAAACTTATCTTGAGATTATTCAAGACCAGAACAAACTCGTAAATTAATATTACTATTAGTATTTATATGTTGTTGTTTTTTAAAGTAATATAATATTATACTTTTATGTACTTTAAGTTTAGGTTCGATTTCGAATTTCAATCGAGTTAAGTTTGAGAATATTTCGAGTTTAAGTTTTTTAACATCGAGTTAAGCTTCAATTTTTTGATTTCGAGTCGAACTTATAAATTTTAAGCTCACGAGCTTTCGAGTTGAGTCAAGCTTCAATTTTGTACTTCAAGTTCAACTCAAGCTCAATAATTTTACACTTATAGATTTTCGAATCAAATAAAACTCAATTTTCTATTCTTCAAATCAAATAAAACTCAACACTGCTCAAACTCATTTACAACTCTAGTTCTTACCCTATTCACTTTATTACTGTAGAACACCTACATGACAGTGAATTTGAATTCTTGAATTCTTTTATTAAGAGACACAATGTTATTTAAAATAATAAGCAAAAAATTAAAGGAAAAAAGGGTTTTTTTGATTGATGAGAAATCACTTAAAATAATAGTAGTAGCTTAATTTAAAGTTGAAACTTCAACTGATGTCTTTTCTTTTTTGGAATATTAAGTTGGGGAATTATTGCATAGATTTGAAGAAAAAATATTAAAAATGAATAATTCCCCTCTATATTATGGTTAATTTTTTATTTTGAAATACAAAAATATTATAAAAACAAATATTTTTATTTTTATATGATATTTTAAATAAAATAACAAAAAATATTTTTTAAAATATTTTAATTTTAAATTTATTAACTATATTAGATTTCTATTAGTTGATATCACTAAGTTCAATAAAAAATTTTCAATATATATCTCTATATATTTACACAATGTAATTTTTAAAAGTCACAATTATAATAATTTACATCTATATAATTACAAATAAAATGATACAATGAAATATATATACACGTATTTATATAACATTTTTATTAATTTGTAATTGTGATTATATTATAGTATATATTTATTGTTTTCTTTAAATAAACTTACACATATTTTATAAATAATATTATTCAAACTTAAACTAATATACATATATATATATATATATATTTTTAAAATTACTCATTTAAATTCATAACCCAAAAATTAATAGAGTAGAAATCGTGATCAATTGTTTATTTTATAAAGAACTCTCTGTTAAAAAAATAATTAATATTATCGATCAAGTATATTTTAATTTTTAAAAGATTGTGTGAGCTTCTTTATTTATGCAAATGATACACATTTCTCCTGCTTGGGAGACTTTCAAATTCGTCAAAAATGGTACACATTTCTCACATCTTTTCTTTGCAGATGATTAATTATGTATGCAAGAGCTGATATTCTAAATGTCAATGTTATTAATTCTATCTCCTGCTTTGGTCAACACTACAACGCTCATCATCAAATCTTTGGGAGACTTTCAGACCAAACATTGCATGGTCGATTGGTAATAGCTCTAGCATATAAGTATGGGACGATTACAAACAATTTTGCTCTTCGCGATCATGTGCGTGAATCCATGGAAATTATCCCAAACAACGACCTTGCTGACTTTGTTGATCAAAATGGCGAGTGGAATATAATCATGCTTTATAACTTGCTAAATGAGACAGCAATTGATCATGCGCTAAGCATCAAACCCCCGTCACCGGACGATTGCAATGATATATGTATTTGACGATGGGGCTCTGATCATACCATTAGTGTTCGTTCAGTGTACGAATCTCAAATACAACACTCTTGGGCAAGCTGCGATCCCAAGTGGCTCAGTCCATGGAATCTTGTTGTTTTAACACTGATTTGGCAGAGAAAAAATGCCTTCACTTTCAACCAAGATCATCTCCCCAATTCAACGACTCTCCAAATTGGTTTTGCCTGTGCAAAACATTTCCATGGCTGCAATATTTCTAAGCAGGATTATGAAGCTCAACTAGGTGCGGGGGACACAATCTCATGAAGTAAGCTGTCACATGGTCGGTGTTGTTTAAATAATGATGGAGCGACATCCCCGAGTTCTAAAAATAGTTAAACTGGCGGTGTTATTCGGGACTGCGAAGGAAATTGGCTTGTTGGCTTCACAAAAAATTAGGAGTCTGCAACCCAATCGAAGCTGAGTTATGGGGCATAATTATCGACTTAAGACTAGCATGGGAGCAAGGTTTCGAGAAAGTAATTATCCAATCCGACAACCTTAATTTTATTCGATTGATTGAAGAGAAAGACGTACTGTGAACTCACATTCTCTAGTTCGGACAATTCACACGCTGAGACAGAAAAGCTGAACAACTATAATTTAATGGACGTCTCGTGAAGGAAACATGGTATTTGATGCTCTCGCCAAACTTAAATCTATCGAACTTCTTCGACATGTTGGTATTCACCTCAACACCGTTGAACATTCTCGCTTTAGTTACGAAGGATATATATGGTCCCTTATTTAAGATTCTACTCTTTCCAATTTAAAAAAAATAAAGACATATATTTATAAATTATTATTGGTTTGGATGGGTGCATGATATTTAAACAATGTAGGTTTGAAAAGTATGCCACGCCCACGCTCTCAACTCCAGAACTCCACGGCAATTAAATCCACTTAATCAACACTTTAAAACAATTAATTCCCCATTATGGCCCCGACATTTTCCTCCTAACCATCCTGTGGAAGGCAGACAAGAACAACAAACGATTCGAGGATAAAATGGGAAACAAACATGAAAACAATAAAAAAAAAATAGTTTTTTTATTTGATTAGATCCCATCGCCCCCCGTCCCCCCAAATCCCTCTCTCCTCTTTTTAATTGTTTGAGAGCAAAGCAGGAAAACCGAAGGCCAATCGCCAAAGCTAACAAAAAAGAATCGCATCGATCACACAAAACGAAAAGGAAAAAAATAGTCAAAGCCCCACACCTTCCCTCCTTCGTGTTTCCTCTCTCTGCATCCCTCCCCCTTTTTTGTTTCCCTGTTTTCTCTCTCTAAATTCCCCTTTCTATCCCTCTCTAGGTTTCGCCCCCCTTTCTGCTTCGAATCCCTAATTTTTATCGGAGGTAGGGTTCATTTCTTTGCTCGCAATCTCAATTTTCTTCGTATGTTTTTTTTTGTTCCTCGTTTCATCTCTTGTCTCATTATTTTACGAATTTGCCATCAAAACCCTAGTTTCAATAATCTGCGAAAAGATAGAAAGTTTCTATCCTTTTTAGCTCACATAAACCCTAGCTCTTGTTTCGTACTATGTAATTTGTGTTTCCCATAGTCTTAGGCTAAAGATTTGGTTTCTAATTTTAGTTTTTTTTAGCATGTAAAGAACGTCGCACGCGTTTAGTTCAATTTTATGGGTTTGCTTGATTCAGTAGATTTGGTTCATCGCTGAAACAAGTATGTAAGTTTTCTTTTAGATATGTCTTCTGCGCTTTGATGGTAAACTGGATTGAGTCACCTGGGGAGGGAAGCATTATGAATTTTGGCACGTGTTGGTTGTTTCTCTTGGTTTATTTTAATAGATCAAAGCCATTTGATTGTTTAATGCTGTTGTTTTGTCATGCGGTGTTTGAGTTTGCCTTCCTGGTCAGCATTTCAGAGTGTTGTGTTATTCACGTAAGATCTAGAAATGACTATTTCCTCAGTTGTCATGGTTTTTGGTTTATTTCATCGATGGTTGCTTTTGTTTGTCTCAAAAACATTATAAAGACATGAAATTTCCCCAAAGATGTGATGTTTTCCTTTTCAATTTGTTGACAGGTCAGAGTAATGTTAATTTGTACATTTCATGTTTGAGGTGACACACTCATTGAATCTGTTCTCTCAATTTTTTTCAATGCCACTTTACTAGTGCCTTTATATGGTAGTTCTGATTTCTATTTCTTTTTTTTTCTTTTGCACTGTGCAGTTTTGATTTGACATTTCTTCTTAGAATTTGATGCTGGAAGAAGTATGCCGCTGATAGTTGGGAGAAATGCAAAGGTATCATGCTACCAGCTGCACTAGTGCAGTCAATAACAGTATAGGAGGAGCCACAGCTAGGGATAATTCCCGTGCTGACTCATCTTCACTACCATCCAACTTCTCATTGAATTCTAGGTATCAAAATACCATATTGTTTGGTGTTCTGTTCAAAGATACTCATTTTCTTGAACTGATTCTAAAATCCGTATTTGATTATATTTTAGGATATTTTTCTTCGATCAATTTTCAATTAATGATCATATTTTGAGAATATTCTGCTCATACTTCAAGAAAACTTTAGTTTGGAATCAGTTTTTCTAAACCTTGTACTGCATACTCTTTCTCTCTTAACATATTATCCTTGACATTTTTGAGAATTGTGAAGCCATCTACTTGCGGGAAGTACACCTTTTTTCTACCCAATGATATTTTTTTATTTTCTTTTGTAGGCGGCATTCTCAGTTAGCATCCTACAAGTTAAAGTGCGACAAGGAACCTCTTAATTCCAGGTAATTTATGCAATTGAATTGAATTGTTGTGTTAATTATATTTATGCAGAGTGATTTAGTAATGTCTCAGAATAAGGTTGTATGCTACTTATAATTGCTTTGTAATAGCAGATTGCAAAACTGACTGAGTTGATTGTCCTATTGACTTGACTCTTACGTAATCTTTTTATAGCTTTATTTAACGGGATGCAAAGCTGACTAAGTTCATGGTCTGATTGGTTTGATTCTTACACAATGTTTGGATAAATAATTATAAAGGAAAAGAAAGGAAAGGAAAGTTAAGGAAAGAAAGGAAGGATAAGTAAGGGAAATGACACAAGGAACTTAGTCTTTATAATGGCCTTTTCCAATTATAGCTTTTTTATAAAATGAATTACTTGGGAGATTAAAAGGATAGAGAAAATATTCTATATCTTAAAAGAATTTTAGTTTCCGTTCCCCAACTTTCCTTTAAAATTGGGATAAATTAAAATGAAGGGTTTCAAGGGATATTCAACTCCCTTCACTTTTCCTGTTTAGATAAGAAAATCCAAACAAGAGAACGGTGTTTACTTTCCCTTCCCTTCCTTTCCTTTCTTCTCCCTTGTTTTAGTCCAATTCAAACAGAGTCTTAAAATGCATTTTCTTAAGTTATTGAACATCATTTGTACCAACTTTTTTATTCCTTTCCAGACTCGGCCCCCCTGATTTTCATCCTCAGACCCAGAATTGTCCTGAGGAGACTCTCACTAGAGAAAATGTGCAGCAGGGATATAAGGAGACCATTGATGGACTGGAGGTATTGTCTTGTGATTGATTAAGATTCACTACTTATGTTTTGCCACAACATCTGTATGTGGATGTTGTGCTGCATGCATGGAAGTGGTTGGTAACTATGGTTTCTTTACCAATCCACATGAATTGCACACACACACACACATTGAACTTAGTGTCATTGTTTTTGAACTCGAGTAAAATGATTGTAATTGAGTCTCCATAAAATTAAAATATTGGGTCATGAATTCTTTGTTTTTTGATATTCTTAATTGAAGTTCAAGTGTAAAATCCATATTTATCACTTTTACTTGATATAGGAATTGACTGAGACCATGTTTTTCTAATATACCAACTTTTCTTAATGTTTGGGAATTAATATCTGATGCATATGCTCCTAGCACTAGCACAGGATTCTCATTTTGTTGTCTTTGTCTCTGTCAAACATTACTTTCTTCTTCCCAATGATGCTTTTTCCTTTGTTTTTATGTAACATTTGTGCTTTCTATGCTTATCTTAGATTGAAATCCGATAGTATCTGTGTGAGGGCTGTTTTGACTGCATACTGATTTAGCAACTTAGCATCCTATTTGTTGTATAACTTGGTACTGTCATCTTTTCAGGATTCAAAAGAGATTTCATTGACTCAGGTTCATGCATTTACAAAGCCAGTTGTTCTAAAATGCAAAGATGTAAGCCATTTTATTGGGATGCTATGGTCATCAAGCAGACCTTTCTATGCATGCTTAATTTCATTTTTCTTAACTGAAAAAAAGGTTTTCCCTTGTAATGTAACTGTCAGTTTTTTTTTTGACTTTTTGATAAGTAGTTCCTTTATCATCTTTGCAGGCAATTAGAAAGTGTCTAAGGGCTATCAATGAATCTCGTGTTCAAAAGAGGAAGGTAATACAAGTTTTATTTTCATATTTATTAATCTATCTGTTTCCTTACTTGTTTCTTGTTTATGTACATGTTTTTTGTGCCCACCACCTCTTTTCTATTCTATTTGCTCCCTTTTCGAAGTCCTATATTTTGTTCTTATCAGGCTGGTCAGGTTTATGGTGTCCCCCTCTCTGGTTCACTGTTAAGTAAACCAGTGGTTTTCCCTGAACGAAGGCCGTGCAATGAAGATTTCAGAAAAAAATGGATTGAGGTAAGTTCATATTCCCTTATGTGGTTGTACATGACTTTCTTTTTTTTCTTTTTGTTTTTGACTTCATTAAATTTGGTGAAAGGCAAACGCATACTTTTTGTGTGAACACAAGGACTTGTTATGTTCATGTTTTGTCAGGGCTTATCACTGCAACACAAGCCTTTGTGTTCTTTGGCTGATCAAGTACCTCAAGGGTATAAGAAGAGAACCCTAATAGAGGTTCTTATCAGGAATAATGTTCCATTGCTGAGAGCAACTTGGTTTATCAAAGTAACATATCTTAATCAGGTACAACAGTCTTAATTTATTTATACCCTCTGGTCATTCTTTCCATAATTGCGCGAATTTATTCATAATATTGGAAGGTGGTGGATTTATAGTTATCTTTTGCAGGTTCGTCCTGGTTCTGCAATTTCTTCTGGAGCACCTGATAAATCTCAATTATCGCGCACAGAGCTATGGACAAAAGATGTTATTGATTACTTGCAGTATCTTTTGGATGAGTTTTTTTCACGAAATAATTCTCATTCTGCTCAACATGGTAGAGAACGATTGCCACAAATGGTTTATGCTGGGTCTTCACACCATAGGAGTGATCAGGCACCAACAATTATTGATGGTGATGAACTGTCTCTTCACTTTAAATGGTGGTATGTAGTGCGGCTTTTGCAGTGGCATCACGCAGAGGGATTGGTTCTTCCTTCACTTATCATTGATTGGGTTCTGAATCAACTGCAGGTATCGTATTCGATTTGTTCATATAATTTTTCCACTGTGCTGAGAGATTTGTTCATATAGGAAATTTGAGTTTATGAGCATTTTCTGTTTTCTGATTATTTGTGCTCTTCCAGGAGAAGGAATTGCTTGAGATTATACAGTTGCTATTGCCTATAATTTATGGAGTTTTGGAAACCATCATTCTATGTCAGACCTATGTACGCAATCTTGTGGGTGTAGCTATTCGCTTCATCTGTGAACCTTCCCCTGGTGGTTCTGATTTGGTTGACAACTCCCGGAGAGCTTACACAATGTCTGCGCTGGTTGAGATGCTTCGCTATTTGATACAGGCTGTGCCGGATACATTTGTTGCTTTAGATTGCTTTCCTTTACCGACTTGTGTACTTTCACATTCACCGAGTGATGGTGGTTTTCCATCCAAGTCCTCAGATGATGCAGAGAAAATAAAAAATCACTTGGCAGATGTGTATGTTGTCACAAGTAAAGGGTTTGATTCTCAATACCAAGCCTTGTCGTTTAATCATGTTGTTTCCACCATCTGGAGACGCTCTGATAATCTTGCTAAAGGTGCAAGTTCTGGATATCCTAGCCAAAGTGTGGCAAAAGCTGTGCAGACCCTAGATAAAGCCCTTTTGCAAGGAGATCTGATAGATTCTTATAATCAGGTCTTCAGTGATCTTTATGATCGAGCAGCTGGCGAAGGTTGGGTAGCAGCAGTCAGTCCATGCTTAAGATCATCACTAAAATGGCTTCAGACTGTGAATTTGTCATTGATTTGCTCAGTTTTTTTCCTTTGTGAGTGGGCAACTTGTGATTACAGAGATTTTCGGGCTGCTACACCCTGTGATGTGAAGCTCACCGGTAGGAAAGATTTTTCACAAATTTATCTTGCAATTCAACTTTTGAAGCTGAAAATGAAGGAGCTGCAGAAACAACTGAAGAAGGGAAGGGCATCAAGAAAGAATACCAGTCAGCAGAATAGCTATTCCAGCAGGGATTTGTTGGGAAATACACATGAGGCTAAAAGCAATGGAAAAGGTGTGAATGGAAGAAACTCTTCTGATATATTTGACAGCCCAGGTCCTCTGCATGATATTATTGTGTGCTGGATTGATCAGCACGAAGGGCATAAAGGAGAAGGTAGCAAGCGTCTTCAGCTTTTTGTGTTAGAACTCATACGTTCCGGAATTTTTTATCCTCAAGCATATGTGAGGCAGCTGATAGTTAGTGGAATTATTGGTACAAATGGATCAAGGGCTAACCAGAGAAGGAAGAGACACCAACAAATCTTGAAGCAGCTCCCAGGGCAGTTTTTACTTGATGCTTTGGAGGAAGCAAGAATTGCTGAGGGCTCAGAACTACTTGAGGCTGTAAATGTTTACAAAAATGAGCGTCGTCTTGTCCTTCGTGAACTTTTTGATTTGTCTAACAGTGTAAACGACTCTCATGTACCAGCTAAAAAGCAAAACTATCACTCTACCTCGGGAAGAGATGTTGCTTCCCAAGTTTCATGTGATCAGAGGAAAACTGTTCAGGCTTTAAAGACTTTCAGGAGAGAAGTGAACCTTGAAGAACTGAAGGCTTCCATCTCATTTTTGTTGCAATTTCCCAGTTCAACATTTACTTTTTCTGATGGTGGAGTGGATGAGTCTCAAGGGGGTGTCAAAAGATCTATCGGGTCAACTTACAATAGGGCGGATTCATTGGAAGGTACTCCTGGGTGTGAAGACTGTAAAAGGGTAAAAAGACAGAAATTAAGTGAGGATAAGAGTTTATGTCTACAAGTATCGTCACCAATTCCATCAGATGACGAAGATAATTGGTGGGTGAGGAAGGGTCCCAAAAACTTGGAGTCTTCCAAAGTTGATCCCCTACTTAAGTCGGCAAAGCAAGTATCTCGTGTTAGGCAAAAGCCTGTCCGTAAAACTCAAAGTCTCGCCCAGTTGGCTGCTGCTAGAATTGAAGATAGTCAGGGAGCATCGACAAGTCATGTATGTGATAACAAGATAAGCTGTCCACATCACAGAACTGAGGTGGAGAATTTGAAACCATCTGACGGGGTCAAAACAACCCATCATGGAGATATTCTTTCAATTGCAAAGGATTTAAATCAGCTTCGCTTTGTAGAGAAGAGGATTGTCACTGCTTGGTTGCTATCTGTAGTTAGGCAGCTTGTTGAAGAGTCCGAGAAATCTATTGCCAAGGTTGGCCAGTATGGGCGGCCATTTGTTGCAGCTGATGAGAAGGGTCCTTTAAGGTGGAAGCTTGTTGAGGATGAGCTATCAGCCATTCTGTATCTATTGGATGTTTCTTGTGATTCAATTTCAGCTGTCAAGTTTCTCCTTTGGCTGTTGCCAAAAGCTATTAGTAATCCCAGTCCTACTATTCATGGTGCGAGAAACAATATAGTGGTGCCCAGGAATGTGGAAAACTATGCTTGTGAAGTGGGGGAGGCATATCTTTTGTCATGTCTCCGAAGGTGAAATCTTTTGTCATCTCTTACCTTTTTTTATTAAATTTATCATGCAAATCATATCTATCATAATTGCTCATCTCTGGGTTGGTTCTTTGTTAGTGACCATTGTATTGCAGTATTATCTGGTGCTCTTGTTGGTTTTTTTATCTTTAACAATAATTTTAGCCTCTTTTCCCTCTTTCCTCAGCAATTTTTTTAAAAGCAAACTGTTCATTTGTTTGCGAATTGTGTATTTTAGTGCATGGAACAGTGTAATGATGCATTTTTGGGGGTCTGGTTGGAATAGAATGCTTATTTTTTTTCTTATTCTTATTGCTCAAGATTGGAATATTGAGCCACTGCAATCATGGCAAAATCTTGTCATTGCTGTCTATGTTTCATGACCTTCATATCCGTCTTACATGCTTAATTATGAATCTTGTTCAGGTATGAGAACATACTTGTTGCCGCAGATCTTGTGCCTGAAGCTCTGTCTGCTACAATGTGTTGTGCTTCAGCTTTTATAGCCACAAATGGAAGAATTACAGGTTCTGGAACCCTAGTTTTTGCCCGTTATTTGTTGAAGAGGTATGGCAACATTGCCAGTGTGAATGAATGGAAGAGAAATTTCAAGGGGACTTGCGATAAAAGACTTCTCTCTGAACTTGAATCTGGACGAACAGAGGGAGAGTTTGGGTTTCCACTTGGAGTTCCAGCAGGGACTGAAGATCCTGATGATTACTGCCGTCAGAGGATAACTGCTGGACGGTTATCTAGAGTGGGTTTAAGCATGAGAGATATTGTTCAGCGTCATTTTGCAGCCAATGCCCCGAAAAGCCCAGTCACTGAAAAAGGGGATGATGATTATCAAGTAGCACAACAAATCATCATGAGACTAATGGATTGTTTTAGGCAGACTGGTGGCGCTTTTCAAGAAGGAGACCCAGGTTTGGTGTCTTCTGCTGTTTCTGCCATTGTTAGCAATGTTGGACCCACCCTAGCAAAGATACTTGATTTTACTGGTGGTAGCAATTATTCAAATTATCAGCCGCCTATGAATTCCTTGAATTTTGCTAAGCGCATATTGCACATTCATTTATTATGTTTATGCCTGTTGAAGGAAGCTCTTGGAGAGCGCAAAAGCCAAGCGTTTGAGATAGCTCTTGCAACAGAGGCTTCTTCTGCTTTAGCAGGAGCTTTTGCTCCTGCAAAGTCCTCTCGGGGTCAGTTTCAGCCAGATTCTCTTGATTCTAATCTAAACATATCTAGTGACAATTCACACGGTTCTGCCAAAGCAACTTTTGGGAAAACTACCAAAATGGCAGCTGCTATTTCTGCCCTTGTCATTGAGGCCATTATTCATGGGGTTATTAGCTTGGAGAGAATGGTAACGGTCTTAAGACTAAAGGAAGGTTTGGACGTTGTTCAATTTGTTAGGAGCACAAAAACCACTTCTAATGGTAATGCCCGATCTGGTGGGGCTTTTAAGGTGGACAACACAGTTGAAGTATATGTGCATTGGTTTCGATTGTTTGTTGGGAACTGCAGAACTGTTTGTGATGGACTAGTTTTGGAACTCTTAGGTGAACAGTCTGTTTTAGCTCTTTCAAGGATGCAGAGGTTGCTCCCGATTAATTTGGTCTTTCCACCAGCTTACGCAATATATGCTTTTGTTATATGGAAGCGATTCATTTTGAATGTTAACATTGCAAGTCGTGAAGATATCCATCAATTGTACCAGTCTTTAACAATGGCCATTGGTGATGCCGTAAAACACAGACCTTTTCGAGATGTTTGTATGAGGGATACTCATGGATTTTATGACCTTGTAGCTGCAGATACAACTGATGCTGAGTTTGCGGCCTTGCTAGAGTTGAATGGTTTGGACATGCATTTAAAATCCATGGCCTTAGTCCCTCTTCGTGCAAGGCTCTTTCTGGACACATTAATTGATTGTAAAATCCCTTCTGCCTTTACACAGGATGATGGGAGCAGGGTTTCTGGACATGGTGAGTCTAAAGCGCTGCGTGCAGAGACTGGGTCTAAGCTTTTGGATGAACTTGTCCGTGCATTGGACACTCTGCAACCGGCTAAGTTTCATTGGCAATGGGTTGAGTTAAGGCTTCTTTTAAACGAACAAGCACTCATTGATAAGATGGAGAACCATGACATGTCCTTGGTGGATGCTATTCGCTCTTCCTCACCCAGTTCTGAAAGAGCCTCGCCTTCTGAGAGTGAGAAGGTTTTCATTGAGATTATCCTCACTAGATTGTTGGTCAGACCTGATGCTGCTCCCCTTTTCTCAGAGGTGATTCATCTTTTTGGGAAATCGTTAGAGGATTCAATGTTGATGCAGGCTAAATGGTTCTTAGGTGGCTCAGATGTTCTTTTGGGGCGGAAAACTGTTAGACAACGACTCAGTAATATTGCTAAAACTAAAAACCTTTCGACAAAAACACAGTTTTGGAAGCCTTGGGGATGGTCCTATTCAGGTGTTGATACTGTGACAAACAGTAGAGTGAAGAAAAAGTCTGAAGTCGCCTCTCTTGAGGAAGGTGAAGTCATTGAGGAGGGTATGGAGTCAAAGGGGTGTGTGAAAGGGTCCACACAAGTGGATGTTGAAGGTTCCAGTAACAGCCAGCAGCATGTAACCGAGAAGGCTTTCGTTGAATTGGTTCTTCCTTGCATAGACCAAAGCTCTGCTGACTCGTATAATATATTTGCTAGTGATTTGATAAAGCAGTTTAACATCATTGAGCAACAGATAAACTCTGTTACTCGTGGCATAAGCAAGCAGACTGGCGCTGCTGCTTCTGGAATTGAAGGTTCTACTATTAAAATTAATAATCGCAAAGGTACAAGAGGTGGTAGTCCTGGATTGGCTAGGCGAACGCAGGCACCTGTGGAGTCTTCACCTCCTTCCCCAGCAGCTTTGCGAGCCTCTATATCATTGAGATTGCATTTTATTGTGAGATTGCTGCCAATAATATGTGCAGATGGGTAAATATGATCTATTTTCCCCTTGTTTCATTTATTCCACTTTAAATAAACATGATCAGTTTCTATCCTTACTGCTTTGTCAGACATTTTTTTTTGTTTTCCAATTTACTAAGCAGCTTTTCTTGTTGCTATGAAAAGATTTCATTGGTTTCTGTAAATTTGTTTGTTTAGCGTCTTGTTTTGGTTTTCTATTAGTACATGCATATTTCTGCTGGAAATGAATAGGTACTAGCAGGGTTTCAAATCGAGGTCACGGTCGCGTTTTCGGTTATTTCGGGTTTACCGTGATTGCGGCCGTCGCGGGTAACTCGGACGGCGGCGAAACCGCAGTTGCGGATCGTTTTTTGAAACCCTGGGTACTAGTTTCCTTCTTATTTCTTACGAAGTCCCCATGGTTAATTGTTTTTATCTTACGTCTGAAGCCTTTATAGTTCCATTTTTTCTGTTGAAAGGAATCTCAGAAATTAGCTTTCATTCTGTGTGTTATCTAGCCATAACACTGACTCATTTTTGTAATACTTCGTAATTGCAAGCCATTGTTTTTTAGGGTAAGAACCTTTAATTTCAGTGATTTGTCAGTCTTTAACCACTTGAATTTTTTTAATCTCTAGTTCATAAAATTCTTAATTTGAAAGTCTTTTGAAACTTGATAGGGATCTTTCTGCTTTGTTTATGATATTTTTGGGGGATTCATTTACTTTTAGGCATCCTCTGGTAATGGATTTTTTCATCTTAATTGATATAAATGGTATTTGGTAGTCCAGGTGCAACACTTTCACGGAATCTTTAATTTTATTATTTGGTCGATAGCTTTTTGGACTGATGTTTGGGTTACTAATCTGTCTCTAAAAGATCAATTCCCCAGAATTTATGCTTTGTCGACCAATAAATGGGGGCAGGTTTTTGAGTTTGGTGAGTTTGTAAATAACTTTTGGGTCTGGAATATTCAACTTAGGATAAACCTATGTGATTGGGAGTTGGACCAGTGGATTGTTTTAATTTCGTTGATTGACCCTATTAAGCTTTCTGATTCGGTGGATGATTTTCTGGGTTGGTCGGGAAAGGGGGATGGCATGTTCTCGGTCAAGTCTTGTAGATTGACGTTATTTGGCACTTATGAAGGGAATTTTTTTTTTGATAGGAATGGTAGGCCTCATTAAAAACTCCTTCATGATTAATGGATCACAAGGTGCTCCTTAATCAGCGAAAGGAGTAAAAGAGTGCCTCAATAATTCATTGATAACCCCAAGATACAAAAACTTAAAAACAACCATACACTTCTCTTGCAGATAACCAACCCAAAACCTAACAGGTAACCCAAAACCCAAACAATAACTGCTTATCTAACCAATACCAGCCTTCGCTAAACTATCAGCCTCAACATTGGCTGACCTAGCAACTCATCTAATACTACCATTCAACCCCCTAAACTTCTCAGCAATATCTGTCACAATGTCTAAGTAAACATTGGGACAGCGGTCGATATTCTTGACCCATTCCACTGCTAGTTTACTGTCTGATTCAACAATTAACCTGTCCTTAAAACACTGCTGAAACGAAACAAAGTTATTGTTTGGGTTTGGGCGGGGTTGGCCCCTCCCAAAGTTCAAAGCTTCTTGTGGCAGCTCTGTCATCGCAAGTTAGCAGTGAGAGTGGAACTTGTAAAAAGAGGGATTCCTTTGGTGGATGTGCTTTGTCCCTTATGCCACTCCCATGAAGAAACAATAGAACACCTGTTCCTCTTGTGTTCTGTTGCTAGAGAAATCTGGACTAAATTTCTAAGGCTTTGGGAAATCTCTTCTGTTCTGCCGCAAGATCCTTCTTCCCTTCTCTGTTCTTGGCCGAACCTAAGGCAGAATTCTACCAATTTGGAAGTTCATCCCGGCTGTTGTTTTATGGTCAATCTGGAACGCAAGGAATCTGGTTGTGTTCGAAAATGGGAAACTTGACAGCTCGGGTCTGTATTTTATAATTAGATTCAGGTTGGCTAAATGGTATTTAGCTAAGCACCCTACTGTTCAGATTCAGACTGACCTACTAGTAGGGGATCCTACGCGGGCTGATAATTTTCATCGTCCTTCTACTCCAAAGAAGAGTATTGGCTGGACTCCTCCACCAACGGGTGCGTTTAAATTTAATGTGGATGGGGCAGTCAATGGAGATGGTATGCAAGGTGGAATTGGGGGTATTTTGAGAGATTCTAACAGTTGTCCCTTAGCCTCTTTCTCTTCTGCAGTAGGGCTTGGTCTTTCTACTTTGGCAGAATTGAAAGCTATTAAGGAAGGAATTGATTTGTTCTATTCGTCTGATTGGGCTAATAAGGGAAGGCTAATTATAGAGAGTGATTGCAAAAATGCAGTGGAATGGATTTTAAAACTGCATTCTGTCCCGGTCTTTTTCAGTGATCTGGTGGAGGAAATTGGGGCTGCAATTTATGATAAGGGCTGTGTTCTTAAATGGATTCCTAGGAGCTGTAATTTGGACGCTGACAGGCTAGCTAAGCAGGGAATTGGTTGAGTGTAGAAGGCCTTTTGTTGTTTGTTTCCTGTCTGTTCTTTGGGTTGTATAGGCTCTTATTTTGTATTAATCTCACCGGTTTGACAATCAGGACTCACCATCAGTTGATGGGGACCTAGCTTAGGAGGTCAAGTCTAAGTGTTGCTGTTTTTTGTTGTTTAAGGGCTCTGTTTGGTTTTTTTGCTTTTGATAGGGGTGCTGTCCTGGTTGTACCTTATGTAATTAAGTTGATGAATGATACTTTAAGGCACTCTTTTCCTCCTTCCAATGATTAAGGAGCTTTCTTTCAAGCTCCATTAATTAAGGAGGTTTTTAATGAGGCCTTCAATTCTTATAAAAAAAAATTAATTCAATAATGTGATAAACTAGTTACCGAGATTCTTTTGTTGGATTATTCAGGGAACCATCCGCACGAAACATGCGGCACATGCTTGCCTCTGTAATACTTCGATTGCTTGGAAGTAGGGTTGTACACGAGGATGTGGAACTGATGCCATCTGTTGTATCCTCAGAAATGTCTGGAGATGGTCTTTTTGATCGCTTATTGTTGGTTCTACATGGGTTGCTGAGCAGTTGCAGACCAAGTTGGCTAAAGTCCAAGGATGCTAAGGATTTTTCTGGACTTGACCGTGAGTCAGTGGAGGGCTTGCAGGTTTGATCTTTTTCATTTTTCTGGTTGAATCTATTGCTGCTTGTTTTTGTAAAAAATAATAAATTATTAGAGCTTTTGGTAGTTCTGGAGGTAAAGAAGTCATAATAATGTGCAGAAATGAGGTTATGAGGTGTTAATGAGAAATATAAAAAGGGTGCATGCTGCATATGCTAAAGATGTGCATCGTCATAGGCACTCAAATTTGGCCAAATGTTTTTGTTGGTTTATGGACTTCAATTGATTTTTACTCTCAGAAGTGGTTCCTTTCTTTTCCTGTGGATGCAGAACGAATTAGATTCTATGCAATTGCCAGAGAGGATTAGATGGCGAATCCAAGCAGCAATGCCAATATTATTTCATTCTCTTCGCAACTCGATCTCCTGCCACCCATCTGCTGTTCCTATTGGTGCTCTTAGTTCACTTCAACCTAGTGTGTCTGTCCCTGGATCTTACACTGGAACTATGAATGCCCCTCAGAGACAGGCTGCATTGGCACGAAATGCAAATAACATGGCAGGAAAATCCAAATCAATGCCAATACTGCAGGAGAATGAAATGGAAATTGACCCATGGACACTTTTGGAAGATGGAGCAGGATCAGGTACATCTTCTAGTAGCACTGTGGCTATTGGCAGCAGTGACCAGGCTAATCTTCGAGCCTCTAGTTGGCTTAAGGGGGCTGTGAGGGTGAGACGGACGGACCTTTCATATATTGGCGCTGTGGACGATGACAGCTGATTTTAGGTTCAACTTCATTTTAGATTTGGTTAACGAGACCCCTCACAACAGGTAATATAATGTGTTATTTGTTGTGGACATTGGCCTTGCCTGTCTCATGTTTGTAGTGGTGGGTCCCCCTCTTAATGTTTAGGGGTGAGCATGCTGGAATCCTTGTGAAAGAAATGTGGTGATGTAGGCCATGTATTCGGCATTGCAGATTTACTGTCATTTTATGCCTCACCGCCATCTGGGCCGTGTACTCAGAGGTGCGGTTCGAGCTTTGTTGTATATATAGAGATAATTACTTCAGTTTACCAATTGATCAGGTATAATATCTCAAGAATTACATGTAGTTATTCTTGCTAATCAATCTTTTAGTGCCTTGAAGTTATCTCTAACACACTAAAACACACAGATGGACGCTAATGCATCACCATCCCATATACATGAATGCTTATGTTGCTGTCATGCATACATTACTGCAAGCTTAAATAAAGTTTGTCCGCGTACATGCGAGGAATACTGTGTTTAAATTTGCATGAAGATGGATGGGTATTTGTAGTTCAGAAAATACATAACATACGGCGGGCTACCGATGGTGATGTTTAAGGCCAGCTTTTGCTTCATTTCAAGTTTTGGTATAAGCTAGAAATTTGTATGCAACATTTTGTCTGTATTTTTAAATTTTGATCTTAATTCGATTGTGTAGGGTGTTGATTTTAGTTTTTATTAATTGTATTATTTGGGGCATTGTTAAAATTTCAGGATACCATAAGGACTAAAATTGATTAAATTATATTACATGAACAAAATTAACAACTGAAAGGACTAATGATAATATTTCCCCTTAAAGTGGTCACTGCTATAATTTTCTCTTCCGACGAGAAAATCCTCAAACTCAAAAAATGCATTCTCTGAAAGGTAATGTAATGTAATAGTAGATAAAATATGCAATAACATTTTCATTTTTTACTTTTAATTGTTGTATCTACAAAAAACACATCTTCAATCCAAGCTACAATGTTGAAAGCTAGACCTTCCAACACTCTTGAATAACTCTCAAGTGTTGCTTGCCCCACATCCTGCAAAACAGAAGAAATTCCATTAGAAACTCCACATTTTATGGTAAAATTCCTCTGAATTTCAGTGCTTTGACAAATATGAAAAAGAATTGGGTTACTCGGACTCCACTCAATTTCCCGGATTCAGAAAGCTGTAACAGCCTTCTTTTTTATCTCCGACTTACCCGATTGTGTTGAATCTTGCATGTGTCCAAGGTGGTCTGTGAAAGTTCAGGATACCTCTGCTTCAAGGCGAACAACAAGCTTTTTGCTCTTTCAGCCATTACATGGTTTTTGTCACTTCCATCGACGTCAGACATCAACTCTTTTACCTTACCCCATGACGATTTCGAATGCTTTATGCATGCTTTACGTCTCCATGTATACATCGAAGCTTCCACCCGGTCCGCTAGTTCGAGTGCTTCGTGTTCTGATGCTATACTCAGACTATCAAGCAGATAGTCTGGGCTGAATTTTTCTTCTGGCGCATGCATGGACCGGGAAATCTGGTCTCCAATACTGTCTCTTCCGCTCTGTACAAGTTTCCTCGCACAAAATTGGGGTCCAAATAAGAAATTTGTTCAAACTTCGGAAGTACTTGCTTCAACTTGATGAGCATGAGTACCAACCTTTGGAAGAGATTCGACGTACGAGTCCGGGATTTCCATTTCGGCAAGAACACCGGTGTTGATAGCCATAGCTGCCTTGTGAATCTGGTTGGCGCAGTCACGTTTGTGTCGCAAGTGTTTCCTTGCTTTCTCAGGGAGACCGAACGGAGGAACGCGTGGCATTGGCACCCACCATTTCTCGTCGTCTCTCTTAACAACCCTTCGAAACGAGCCCGTTCGGCTTGAATTCAACGACAAATTCCCTTCCTCTGCGTACCAGAATTCTCTGTCCTCGAAACTGTCCAGTATTTCCTGTCAAAGGATGTCATAAGAGCTATGAGATGAACCTTTGTAATTAAAAAAGGATTATATATTTTTTGGCATTACAATGAGCATTGCATCCAACTTTCTAAGTGCAGGAAGATTGACATAAATATCTGGTCTTGGTCTGCTTTCCATAACCTAAAAATATCTCGCAAAAGAAAAGAAAAACATCATGTTAAAGCAGGCAGGCAGACAAACATTCAGACAGCTTTGGTCTGGATTATGAAAAAACTACCTCAATAGCTCTTCCGTCGCGCAAATTCTGCGACTTGGTAGTAAATTCGACAATATAATCGCAGATAGATATATGGCAGTTCATCTCTCTTTTCCACATTGCTTTCTTTTCAGGGTTCAAAGGCTCCAACCTCAAATTTTGTCCAAACACAGTTGCTGCAGAAACAAACATAATTAACTAAATTTCATAGATTCGAAACATAAAAGGGAGTGAAATCAGTGATGAAAGTGAATCTTGTTTTCTCTAGAGGACTTCAGTTTAAGCAGTTGTCCCCCCGCGCGCTAGTCAATTGACTGAGAAAATAAAAACAAAGTCATTTTCTTTGTCTGAACATGTTTATGTTACCGTAGAGATTGGTTATGGCGTTCGAGATTGTAACTGCTGAGCAGACCCCTCTACCATTCCCTGACATATCCTCTCCCAGTAAAAGCTTTGCAAATCTTTCCCTCGTCGTTTCAAGTTCTATCAAACAAAATTTTACAACAGTTGGCATAAAAAAGAAACATCATAATTCAGAACAAATACAGTTCTTCCAAATATTTTCACCTAATTCCAATGATTCCAGATACTCAAGCTGCTTTTCATCTGCATTATTTTCGAGTTTCTTTGTTCCAAGCCTGCTAAGAACAGCTTGATTCTGTGCCCCGCCTCTTGTTGCTGCCCAGTGAAAAGGCGAAGCTTCACTAAAACAGCTACGATCATCAACAGGTTCCGAAAATGCAGATCTTCCAGAGAAAGTTCTGTCATACACGAAAGAACCGCCACTAAACGTGGAGTATCCAAGGGTTTCTGGAATTGACTGGTTGATTTGATCGACGGAAGAAGGAGAAAGCTGATAACCCAGATCGTAGTTTTCATCAGAATTTGATAAATTCTCCATTTGAGCTTAAATCTAATCACTATTCCGAGCTCTGCAAATAAGCCATGGAAATTTGGTCAGTGGGGGTTCAATCTTTGAGGACTTTTTTTGAATTTATAGCTGAAAGTGATCAAAGTGAAAAGCAAAAGATGCTGCTTTGTTTACAGTCACAGGTCGTTGTTTCCATCAGATTTCTAAAGCATAGTTCACCGGAAATAATATGAAAAATAAAAGCTTATGCTTAAAGTAACGTTTGCAAGCAACGGTCTTTTGCAACATTCTTTTTCCTTCAAACAATTTACCTTTAAAGGGTTTTAAATAGATTTGAGTTCGAAACCATTGAAGATATTAAGCAATCTGAGGACCATTTGAAATCGTTCCCTCCTAATCATCTTTCCAAAAGGAACACACTAAAAACACCCTCTTTTCTGCGTATAACAAAGGAACAAGGAATCTTGACCGTACGATTTCTGGGTCTTTTCTCAGTTTTCTGATCGGACGAGAAAAAATCCAGATGCAAAATTTGCTGCAAAAGGTTGAATCAAAGAAAATAGAGAGTGGGTTTTGGAAATTTTGCAAGAAGTTTGTATAGCTTCTTTGGTTGACACGGAATTTTTTTATTATAGGACAGGCATGACATGTATGTAATTGAATATTTTAGAGAAATTAATCCCAAAACAAGGTTTTGGATAAAATTTCCTTTTAGTCCCTATATTACCCATATCTTATAAATTTAATCTATATATTTTAATTTAAGGTAAAGTATACATATAGTCATGTGTGTTGTTTTGTTGAGTCCTCCAATTATTAACAAATATAAAATGGTAATTTGATTATAGGATGTTTTATTGAGTCTCCTGACTATTAAACATTATAAAATGGTCACTTGAATGTCCATGTGTTACAAACTCGTTCTTTTCTGTTAAAGAATTGGAGTTTGTCTCAGCTAGACGTTAACTTCGATACGATAAAATCTGATATCATATCCATTTTAATTGTATTTTATGGATTGACTGATTGACTCTATGTTTACATTATGTCGTCGAGCTAATGCTTGAAACCAGAGACGAATGTATATGGCTCCCTAGGGGAGTCACTGCACAACTATTATTTCGAGAAAATTGTTAAATTTAGTTTAATTTGTTAATGAAAATAGAAAAAAAAGAAAAAGAAAAATATGCATACCCAAAAGTTTTAGAATAGAATAATAAAATTTTGGACCCCTATTTTTTAATTTCTGGATCCGCCACTGCTTGAAACATTATACTGTCGAGCAAGTGTTTGAAAGCAACGGCGGTGTCAGTAGACATCATTAAAATATGATTTCATCATATCTCAGTCAGCAAGTTAACGTCTAGTTCAAACATCCGCCATTTTTAACGGAAAATGATGAGTTTGGAACATATGACTAATCAGTTGACTATTTTGCAACTTTTAAAAGTCGGTGACTGAACAAAATAACGCCCTATACTCCGGAGATCATTTTGTAACTTTTTATAGTTGAGGAACTCAACAAAGCAATATCCTATAGTAACTTGACCATTTGTGTACTTTACCCTTTAATTTATAATATTTGTTCAAAATTTATTTAACTAATTGATAACATATGCACATTCTATACACATAATTACTCAAACTTTTTAGCTAACCGATAACGAACACATTCTCAACCTACAACTATACAAATTTAAGACTTCTAAAGATAATAGTATTTTATTACCAGCCATTCAATATTATTAACGTATAACTATGGAAAAAAAAACAAAAATAAAATTTTAAGTGACCTACTTTTTATATTATTAACTATAATTTAATATATTTTGTGAATTTTTTTCATATTGTATATGTAAACGATGTCATATCATTTATCAATATTTAACTGCTGGTTTAAGGGTGGGAAACCAAGCATTAAGAAGATGAAGTCTGGTTTAATATTTTTAGACGAAATTAAGTAATTTCTTGACTGAGATTCAACCTAAAGCCTTGTAATAAACTGGAAGTGGGTAGTGAAATAAATTGAAGATTTTGGTCCTCTTTAACACTATAGTAGCCAAGAGGAAGGCTACAATGGCTGACAACAAATGATTTGTTATCAGTCTTCTTCATTTACCACTGCATTTGCTTGGTTACCAAGTAACCCAAAAACAAGAATTCAGCATACTGAACCCTGAAATCCTACAAACTAGACACCGGTAGATGATTAGTTTATGATTTGGTTTCTCATCCTCACTTAGTTGCAGCTCTTTGAAGCGCTTGTTTGATCATCCCTGCAGGTGCAATTGCGGCTCCTCGAAACTGTGAAAATAAAAAGAAAAAGATTGGTTATCCTAAAGAGTGGAACAATAAAGAACTGGGGATTCTATTAAGAACGAGCCTCTGATCGATCGAATGAACCTTAGATTTCAGGGTTAATGCAACGAGACCGTCGAGAGTTCTCGATTGAACTGTATAGGCATCCAAATGTAGGTTGTTTATAGCTTCCATGATATCCAGCAACAAGAATTCCCTGGAAGGACACCTTATTTCAATTATAACTTCCAGTTCTTTTATGCTTACTCTCACATCAGGTGCAAAGCCATCTTTGGGAGTGCTCCGCTTTAAATCTGAACCGGTTTCGTGGAGGCTTTCACCAACGTCACAAGCCTTCCTCTTGTTTATCCAAGACTTCTTGACATTGTAGACTGTCCCGTTTTCGTAATTATCCGACGTCTGCTCCACCGCATCCCGGCAATTTCGTCTCGGCCTTGCCTCGAACTCCATCGAGTTCTTGCAAGATTCCAGTTCTTCTATCCTTGCTTCTAGTTCTTTCAAGTACTTAATCGTATCCTTGAGAAATGATTCTTTGTCAACCTGCAAAACCAAGCTCTATGTTTGTAGAACACTATATGTATGTTTTCTGTCACAGTGGATGAAAGTCTATTAACCTCACTGATGGAAGGAATCATTGACCCGAGGATCCGGAACTTCTCTGGTAAGGCACATCCTATGGCATTCTCATCGTTTCCCGGTTTCCGAAGGCAATCTTTTCTACCATTTTCCTTCACATACCTAAGAGAATTGCTTCCATGCATTAGAGGCACTGCAAATAGAATCTTCTTAAATATGTTTTGTTGTACCCTTGGTCTATGAAAATTTCCCATCCCTTCTTTCTTCCATCTGATAAAACTAGATTTATAGCCACAGGTATGAAAACTGGGGCTTTCGATCGACCAGTTCGAACTTCTTAGAATAGCAGAAACAGTTCTCTTGTAGTGCAAGTCGTCAACTTCGAGATCCAATGAGCTCAGTGTCGTGTGATTGCCTTTGTGGAGTTCTTTAAATCGAGAATGGTTTGCACTTTCCCGCTTGGGAGAGGAGGTTGCAGCTTTTTCTCGAATACCAAAGTCGTCATCCATGAAATGCCAACTTTGAACATGAGAAGCAACACCGTTCACGTCTTCGAGCATGAACGAGTCATCCATCTGATGATTTTGTCTGCAGTACGAACACTCGTCAGGGGAAATGATATTGAAATCTTCATTGATACTTTCACAAAATTCGTTGAATTCCTCATGATCGAATTCGATTTTCTTAGTAGGGGAATAGAGGTTCTCCAAGTCCAACAAACCAACTATCCCATGGTTGATCTCGGCACGTATAGGATCTTTGTCATCATCTGCATTATGAGGGACCGAAGAAGAGTTCTCGGAGCAAACAGGCTTTGAGAAGTCCAGCAAGGAAGCTTTAATATGCTGTAACAGATTTGGATCCTCCGGAACCTAAATAATTCATAATTTTCAGAGAAAATTACATTCATCTCTAAATTATAAACTCAAATCTCCCGACCAAGGAACTTACTAGTTCAGTCACACCTAGCTCAATAACACCTCCAAGGTAGGGAAAACATACCACAGTCTGCAATATCATTTATGATTCCAAGATAATGAATCAGCATATGAAGATCAGACAGATAATCTTACAACAAGATCTATACAATCTTACCTGAATAGATGCACTCTAAGGGAAACGTTTCGACATCGAGTCATGTAAAGTTCACAGGCAAATGATGTCAGTCAATTGGCATAAGATTAACAGCACTCGAGCCAAGGGGGGGAAAACACCAACCTTTGCGAGCAAGGAGCGGGAGAATATTTTGCTATCTGCATGTTGAGCATTGCATAACCATATGGTTTCACCACTGGCCAGTGCTTTTCCCGGCAACCTATGCAACAATGTAATAAAAAGAACTGATAACAAAACAGAACACCAAAACATACATTAAGCAAAAAAACAAACACATGGAAGACATTAGTGATTCACTAGTATTACCCTTGTCCGGTATCTAAACCAAAGGACATGCAGACCAAGTAATACCACTCTGTATCAGACAAATCCTCCGGTGATAATGCAGCTGAAGGCTTCTTAGTTTGATCGGTGTCACCTTCCAACAGAGATTCATAAAGCTGTCTGAGTTGTTCACTTCTCTGTAGGCCTATTTTATCTGCTTTAAGCTCAAATGCTTGTACACTCTTCCTAGTCTTAATGTCTCCATTGTAGTAACCATCTCCCCACTGAAGCTCCCTGGTGATTTATCAAAGTTAAAAATGGAGATTTGAAACAAAAATATGATTAAAGTTGATGAAAAAAAATACCCTTGTTGTGTAGCTGATAAAGACCAAAAGATTGCATAGCTCCATTGGATACTCCTTACAGCAACTGCAAGCTGTTTCCTTAAGTTTTCTGGCACACCACCAACCTGGTTTTTAACAGCATTAGCCATTCGAAATAACCAAATATGACTGATTTTTTTTCCTCAGTTAACCCAGATGAGATCTTCTTGCTTTCAGTAGACTGGATATGTTCAAACTCAAAAAAGGAAGGACAGGACCAAAGACACAATTTTTGGAGCTTATATTGTTTGTGTTCCTTTTTGAAGATTGCAAGTAGCAAAGGCCAACAATGTCCGAAATTAATAAAAAAAAAAGAAAAAGAGAGGATGCAGAATGATACGGTGACATGTCTTTAGTAAATGGAAAACACAGTTTCTGTCTGCCAATTATCCTTTGCACAGTTTTCCTCATAATTCATTGTGTGTAGTATAAGTTTAATGAATA